TGGAGGGGGAGAAAACAAAGGGGGGGGGGGGGGGAAGGGGGCAGTGGAAAATAACCCAAAATGGAGGTGAGGCATTGGTGGATGGGTGGGGGAAAGGCTTCCCTGCCTGCAGCTGCCCCACTGCACTGCACTGATCTAGGGCTGGGGGCTGGGGTGGTGCATGGTCCTCCCTGGCTCTGTTTGGCAAGGGGGTGACCCCCGTGCCTGGGGCTGGTGTGGGTGCATGTGTGGGTGCATGGCAGGGGGCCCCTGTAGCCTGTGGTGAGGCTGGATTTTTGGCAGGGCTCTGGGGGACACCTTATGCCTTCTGTTCTCTCTCTTCCTTTCTTCTTAATTTTTTTTCTGAATGAAGAAGAATGTGGGGGGTGCTGTTTCTAGGCTGGGAGGTGGTGGTTACCCACACTGATAACGCAGCCATGGTCCCCACCAAAACAGGTAAAGCACCCATGGGTGCCTTTGCTGTCCTCTCACCAGCCTTGGTGCCTTGGCATGAGGGCAGAAGGATGGCAACAAGCCCCAGTGTAGCCTCAGCCTGCTTTTGGCACTGGCAGCTGGGATGGTCCTACTGGTGAGGCAGTCCTTGGGCTGCCATCCAGTTGACCAGGGCAGCTCCTCCTCTTCAGCACATTCCTCTTTGTTTTCTCCTCCTGTTGCAGTGAAGCCAGGCTGCGGGTTTGGTCTGTTTTAATTTTTCATTTCCCTCCCTCTCCTCTCTGAAAGGTTTTCTCTCTTCCTCTCTTCCTCTCTCCTCCCCTTCTCTCTTGCCCCAGGCTATGCACCGGTGACGGGGATGTGCCACCCGCTCCGCAGCTGCACCCTCAACCATGAAGATGGCTTCTCCTCAGCCTTCGTTGTTGCCCACGAGACTGGCCATGTGTAAGTCCAGGGAAAGCTTACTGCAGCCTTCCAGTACTCAAAGAGGCCCTAGAAGGAAGCTGGGGACAGACTTTTTATCAGGGCCTGTTGTGACATGTCAGAGGGTGATGGTGTTAAACTAAAAGAGGAGAGATTTAGACTAGAGAGAAGGAAGACGTTTTTGATGCTGAGGGTGGTGAGACCCTGGCCCAGGTTGCCCAGAGAGGTAGTAGAGGTGGTAGAAGCTCCATCCCTGGAACCATTCCAGAGGTTGGCCAGGGCTCTGAGCAACCTGGTCAAGCTGGAGCTGCCCCTGCTCGCTGTAGGGGGGTTGGACTAGATGGCCTTTAAAGGTCCCTTCCAGACCAACCCAGCCTATGACTGTAGGTCACGGGGGCAGAGCTGGCTGTCCCTGTTGGCAGGAGGACAAGCGTGGTGATGCCCCTTTCTTTGCAAAAGGGCCTTTCTCTTGGCACAGGCTCGTGTACCGCTGCGGCCGGTGTAAATCCCCTGGGAACCCAACTTCACACCAGCTTCTCCCACCAGGTTAGGCATGGAGCACGACGGCCAGGGCAACCGCTGTGCTGATGAGACCAGCATGGGGAGCATCATGGCACCACTGGTCCAGGCTGCCTTCCACCGCTACCACTGGTCCCGCTGCAGCAAGCAGGAGCTCAACCGCTACATCCAGTGAGTTACTTTGGAGCAGGAGGGGTTGTTCTCCCTTCACGTGGCATTTTGTACCTGGCGTTGTGTGTTTTGGCCATAATAACAAAAAATGGGTCTTCAGCAGGTTGTTTTTCCCTTTTTTTTTAACTCACAGCTTTGGTTCTTTGCACAGGTCTGAACTGGTTTTGGGCTGTGAGGGCTGGAAGCGAATAGGAGCCTCATAAAAGCTGGAGGTGTAAATGGAGTAGTAGCTTGCAACAGCTCTGTGATGGTGGAGCCCAGATCCAGATCTCAAATGCTTTTGATGTTTGCTTTGGGCAGCCTGTGTGGTTTCCCCTTTAGGCTATAAAATGTTTTGTGCTGCATAAAAAGATGCAGCAACAGGCTGGGAGCTTTCTGTGCATCAGGGCCAAGAAGAGTAGGAGGAACCCAGGTAGCAGGGGTGGTACCACCAGCACCAACATACTGTGTGCCCTGGAGAGCTGCAGTATCTGGGCAACTCTGCTCAGTTGGTCTTTGCTGGAAATGTGTTTTCCAGCAGTTGGATGGTTAGCATCTGTGGCAAGATCATTCCAATTTCTCAATATCTAAATTTGGGGAGGGGGCTGGAGGTGAGGAAGAGGATGAAGGAGAGAAACCCTCTATGTCTGACTGCTTCACCTCTCTCCTGCATCTCTGCAGCTCCTACGACTGCCTCCTGGATGACCCCTTTGAGCACCAGTGGCCCACCTTACCCGAGCTGCCAGGCATTAACTACTCCATGGACGAGCAGTGCCGCTTTGACTTCGGCGTGGGCTACAAGACGTGCACGGCGGTGAGTTTGAGGTGCACGGCCACATCGTGTCCCCCCTGGGGCCCCCAGCTGGGGACGAGGAGGGGTGCTGGGGTTCCCTGTCCCAGCCCAGCTCCTCTCTGCTCCCCAGTTCCGCACCTTCGACCCCTGCAAGCAGCTGTGGTGCAGCCACCCGGACAACCCCTACTTCTGCAAGACCAAGAAGGGGCCACCCTTGGATGGGACCGAGTGCTCTCCAGGCAAGGTAGGGTCTGGTCTTATTTGCCCCCTCTTTGGGAGGGGACAGGGCCACCCTCGAGGGCAGTGGGTGCCCAGTTTTTAGCTGGTGTTACTCCTTATTTTGCCCAGTTTGTGCTCAGATGAGGACTTTGGTTTTCTTCTGATGTGTCTGCTTTTGCAGAGGGGCAGGACGTGTTCTGGTACCTGGCAACAGAGCAAGGACATAATTGTGCACCCACCCTCATGATGTCATCAGGCTTTTACTTTAGGCTGTTTTGGCATGCCCGTTGTCACAGGATGAGAGTGTGTATACATTGGAAAAGCTGCTGGCCCATGTAGGTTTGGGGTGGTTCTTTGCTAGAGAATGGCTGGATATGAAGTGTCCAACACATGTTCAGTTGACATTCAGCGAGACCTGGACAGGCTGGAGAGTTGGGTAGAGAGGAACCTAATGAAGTTGAAGAAGGGCAAGTGTATTCCTCCTGCACCTGGGGAGGAATAACCCACTGCAGCAGTACAGGTTAGGGGTTGACCTGCTGGAAAGCAGCTCCACAAAGTGGGACCTGGAAGTCCTGGTAGACAACAGGTTAACCATGAGCCAGCAGCGTGCCCTCATGGCCAAGAAGGCAAATGGTGTCCTGAGGTGCATTAAGAGTGTAGCCAGCAGGTCAAGGGAGGTTCTTCTCCCCCTTTGCTATGCCCTAGTGAGGCCACCACTGGAGCATTGTGTCCAGTTCTGGGCTCCTCAGTTCAGTAAGAGAGTCCAGTGGAGGCTACAAAGATGCTGAGGGGCCTGGAGCATCTCTGTGATGAGGAAAGGCTGAGAAAAGCCCTGGGCCTACTTAGCCTGGAGAAGAGAAGACTGAGAGGGGATCTGATCAATGCTGATCAATAGCTAAAGGGCAGGGGTAAAGAGGATGGGGCCAGACTCTTGTCAGTGGTGCCCAGTGACAAGACAAGGGGCAATGGGCACAAACTGGCACCCAGAAGGTTCCACCTGGACAGGAGGAGAAACTTTGCTATGAGGGTGATGGAGCCCTGGAGCAGGCTGCTCGGAGAGGTTGTGGAGTCTCCTTCTCTGGAGAGATCCCATACCTGCCTGGCCATGACCTTGGGCACCCTGCTCTGGGTGACCCTGCTGGAGCAGGGGTTTGGATGAGATGATTTCCAGAGGTCCCTTCCAACTCCTACCATGCTGTGATCCTGTGTTTTTGATGAGTTTCTGTATAAATCCCAGCGATCTCACTGAAAATGCAACCTCCTTGAGTGCTTGAATGATGGTTTGCCAAAAGCTTTTAAAATGAGGCTTTTTGAGATGTGTACAGATGTGCTACCCATTGTGCTGGCATGTGGTTCCCAGGGGCTGCAGCATGTGGACTGGGTGGTCCATGAGCTGCTCAGAATTTTGCCTCTTTGGGGAATTTCCCTTCATCTGTCATGGTGGCCACTGAAGGCACCGCTGGCTTTTGCCCAGGGCTGGATTTAATCGTGGATCTGGGTACCCGTGGAGTGTACTGTGCCAAAGTTTGGGTTCATCCCTCCTGGGACAGTGAGGAGACATCCCCAGGGCTGCTCTGCTTCTGGCCCCAGGTATAATTCACTGCCTGCTCCAGGAGCTGCATGGGCAGGGGGAGGCAGACTGGCCGGAGAGGAAAAAACAGCCCAGGAATGCAAAAATTCAGTGTGAGGGAAAAAAGAAGAAGGAATTTGGTTTGCAGAGGTATCTTTGCATGCCCCAGGCCTACGCCTTCACCAGACTTTTGAATGGGTTTGTCCTTCCACAGCCTGATCTTCCCATCTGTGCAGCTCCATACTTCGTGTGTCATATCTGGAGCAAGGCACACGTCCTCTGTCACCTGCTTGTCCAGCTATGATTTAAAAACCCACAACACTTGTGAACAAGCAAACCCTGGAGAAAAACCCGACAATATAACCCATCTGATGTAAACCACTGCCATGCAAGCTCTTCTGTGGAGCTCTTCATGTCCCTCCCATGCCCTGGTCTAGCTTCCTATGGGAGGAACATGCCCAAGGACATGATGTAGAGCACCTTCTTCCTATGCTTTGCAAAGAATGAGCCATTTTTATAGCGCTGTGTGTGCAGGAGGGCTCTCTTTGCTGGTGCCGAGCGCTTTGCAAGAGGCAGGCGTGGAGCTCACCCCTCTGTGTCCTCCCTTCCAGTGGTGCTTCAAGGGTCACTGCATCTGGAAGACGTCGGAGCAGCCGTACAGCCAGGACGGCAGCTGGAGCTCCTGGTCCAAGTTCGGCTCGTGCTCCAGGACCTGCGGGGGAGGCGTACGCTCGCGCAGCCGCAGCTGCGACAACCCCCCGTACGTTTGGCCTCCGCCTCCTTCCTTTCAGCAGGGGTAAAACTGGAAGGGGACAAGGCCCAGGGGTTCCTCACACTTCCCCTTCGGTCGGTGGGGCTGGGGGTGTCTACTCCCGCATGAGCTGTGCCCTGTGTTTGGTTGTGTTTGGGCAGCATCCTGCCCTGAGGCTCTTCTAACCCAGCTGCTTTATCCTGCAGCCCGGCGTACGGTGGGCGCCACTGCCCGGGGTCCACCTACGAGTACCAGGTGTGCAACGCCGAGGAGTGCCCGGGGCCCTACCAGGACTTCCGTGCCCAGCAGTGCTCCAAACGTAACTCCTACTACACCCACCAGCACAGCAAGCATGCCTGGCTTCCCTACGAGCATCACGACGGTGAGTGCTGGCAGGACCCACAGAGGAGCAGGAGCCAAACTGCCTGCCCTCCCAGAGGAGGCCACTCTGGTGGGCATCACAGTGGGATGGAAGCCGTGCCAGCTGCACAGATGTTGGGTTGTGGAAAGCTCCAGAGCTGGAAACTAGAGTGCAGTAAGCCAGTATCCATTGGCCAGGTCTTTAAAGTCAATCTCTTGTGCTTGCCCTCAGGTGTCACATAGAGAAACCCAGGCGTTGCTCTGGTTCCTGCTGTCTCGAAGTGCAGCAGAGGTGGGCTGAGAAGACCAGCCAGTGTTGAAACCTCTCCTTGCTCCTTCTGTGCTAGTAAGAGAGCCCCTTGTGTGCCCAGGTGGCCAAGAAAGCCAACTGCAGCCTGGCTTGGATCAGCACTAGTGTGTGGCCAGCAGGACTAGGGCAGGGATCACCCCCCTGGACTCGGCACTAGGGAGGATTGCATCACAAATCCTGGGGTCAGTTTTGGGCCCCTGACTCCAAGAAGGACATGGAGGGGCTGGAGCATGGCCAGAGAAGGGCAACGAAGCTGGGGAAGGGTCTAGAGCAGAAGTCTGGTGAGGAGCAGCTGAGGGGCCTGGGGTTGTTGAGCCTGGAGCAAAGGAGGCTCAAGGGAGACCTTCTGGCTCTCTACAACTCCCTGACAGGAGGTTGGAGCCAGGTGGGGATTGGTCTGTTCTTACAAGGAACAAGCGACAGGACAAGAGGAAACAGCCTCAAGTTGTGCCAGGGGAGATTTAGGCTGCACATGAGAAAACTTGTCTTCACTGAAAGGGTTGTCGAGGCCTGTCCCAGGCTGCCCAGGGCAGTGGTGGAGTCCCCATCTCCAGAGAGATTTAAAAGCCATGGAGATGTGGTGCTGAGGGACATGGTTTAGTGGTGCCCTGGCAGTGCTGAGTTAACAGTCGGACTTGATCTTAAAGCTCTTTTCCAACCTGAATGATTCTATGATCCTAATAATGGTAGTCAGTGATAAATCTGTTTGTGTTACTGTTAAAGTTTTATCTCCACTTCCTGTGTGCTTTGGCACACTGTGGACTTGTTTTCCTCGGAGATGGTGGGGTAACGACACTGCCTGCTCACTCCCAGAGCTGCAGTGGGAAGTGTGACACTCCGGGCTGGGCTGGGAGCCAGGTCCTGGCTTGGTGTTCCTCATGCATGCAGCCAAGTGTCTAGCATTGCAGTGTCATGCTGCGTGTCCCGTCCAGTTGTCTTCTTTTAATTTCCTAAGTGTGCTGGGCAAGAATTCAGGCTCTTGAGTAGCAAACGGACGTGGCAGAATAAGGTGCATGAGTAGCCCGGGCTTTGGAAATCTGGTTACAAGCCGAGGTAGGGTGATTGAGGATAGAACCCAAATGTATTTCCACAAAACCTTTTTTTTCCCCCCTCACCCTTTTTCCCCTTTTTATTTTGCCGCAGATGCGCAGAAGTGTGAGCTGATCTGCCAGTCTGAGGGCACGGGGGACGTGGTCTTCATGAATCAAGTTGTTCATGATGGTACCCGGTGCAGCTACCGAGACCCCTACAGCATCTGTGTCCGGGGAGAGTGCGTGGTGAGCAGCTGATGGCCACTGGGTGACTGTCCCTGTCCTTTGCCTGGCCAGGAGAGAGCTTTTGTGTCTCTCCAGGAAAACCTTGCAGCCTTTCATTACTTGAAGGGGCCTGTGAGAAAGATGGGGATGGTCTTTGCAGCAGGTCCTGTTCTGACAGGACATGAGGTGATGGTTTTAAAATAACAACAGGAGGTTTAGTAGATAGAAGGGAGAAATTTTTGACACTGAGGGTGGTGACGCACTGGCACGGGTTGCCCAGAGAGGTGGTAGAAGTCCCATCCCTGGAAATGTTTCAGGTGAAGTTGGATGGGAATCTGAGCAACTTGCTCTAGCTGAAGCTGTCCCTGCTCACTGCAGGAGCATTGGACTAGATGACCTTGAAAGGACTTGCCAACCCAAACCATTCTATGATCCCCTTGACCCACTACCTATTGGGCATGCATGACCTCATGTGCAGCAAGGGGTTATGGAGGATGTCAGAGCGATGGGATGGGCTGCAGGGATGTCATCCTGTGCTTCTCTTCTCTTCCCCACGGGTGACAGCATGTTGGCTGTGACAAGGAGGTTGGCTCCCTGAAGCAGGACGACAAGTGTGGGGTCTGTGGGGGGGACAACTCTCACTGCCGGACGGTGAAGGGTACACTGGCCAAGACCCCCAAGCAGCCAGGTGAGTGGGCTGGGTGGGTTTGCAAGCAAATTTGGTCAGGGTCAGCTGGAGGAGGGCCACAAAAATTACTTGAAGACTGGAGCACCTCTGCTGTGAGGACAGGCTGAAAGAGTTGGGGTTGTTCAGCCTGGAGAAGAGTCTAGAGACAGCTTATTGTGGTGTTTCAGTACTTAAAGGGGGGCCTAGAAGAAGGATGAGTTTAGACCTTCTGCAAGTCTGTTGTGACAGGACAAGGGGTGATGGTTTTAAACTAAAAGAGGGAAGATTTAAACTAGGGAGAGAACTTTTTTTTTTTTTTTTTTATGCTGAGGGTGGTGAGACCCTGGTGCAGGTTCCCAGAGAGGGGGACAGTAAGGGGTGCCTAGAAGAAAGATGAGGATAGACTTTCTGCAAGTCTGTTGTGACAGGACAAGGGGTGGTGGTTTTAAACTAAAAGAGGGAGGTGGTCAGTGCCCCATCCCTGGAACCATTCCAGGTGAGGTTGGCCGGGGCTCTGAGCAACCTGCTCTAGTTGCAGCTGTCCCTGCTCGCTGCAGGGCGGGTTGGACTAGGTGACCTTGAAAGGTCCCTTCAACCCAAACCATCCTATGACTATGATACACATGTGAGTGGGTGTGTGCCCAGTTGGAGGAAACCTGCTTTGTCTCTTCCCTTCATCCTTCTTCCCTCCTTTTCAGCTGGTGTTCTGAAGATGTTTGAGATTCCAGCTGGAGCGAGGCATCTCCAGATAGAAGAGATGGAGCCGGCATCCCACAGCATTGGTGAGTACACCATAGTTCACCTCTCCCTTCACCCCCTGCCTCTTTCTCAGCCCTGTTCTGACAGTTGCCTCCCAGGGGGCCTTACTTGGGTCATTCCAGTCCTTCAAAGGCCGTGACCAGGGGAGATGACGTTGAAATACCTCCTTTCTCCTCCAGCTGTTAAGAATCAAGCCACGGGTAACTTCATCCTTAACATCAAGGGTAAAGAAGCCAAAAGCCAAGTGTTCATTGAGATGGGCTTGGAGTGGGAATACACCATTGAACATGGCAAGGAGAGCCTGAAAACCAGCGGTCCTCTGCACGAGGCCATCAGTGTTTTGGTAAGCCTGGCTGGCATGTCCTCTGAGGGTGCTGAGGACAACCATCACACAGCAGTACAGAGAAAGAAGATGGTCTGAGATGGGATGGAGGATGTGACAGGAGGACTTTGGTTGAGAAAAGATGTAGGGGAGTTAGGGATTGGCTTTCCTGAGCACTTGGGGAGGTTTGCCTCCTGTCCATCCTGGCTTTGGGTGTAGAATGTGGTCCTGCAGGTCAGAGGAGAGGCTAGGGGTATACCCATGGTCAGAACTGGGATGTTTGGGCAGCATTTTTTCTCCACAACTGGACAGGTATGTTCCCAAAGGGTAGGCTCTGT